ATGTCTTCCCCCAGTCAGGGGTCCCCGTTGCCCCAGCACCCCTCCCACTCCCCCCAAAACACCTCAGGCCACCTTCACCCCCTGGTCCCTCACCCCCATGTGTCCCCCCCCGGCCCCCGTAGGCTTCATGCGGGAGGAGATGGCGCAGCGGGAGGAGGCCGAGCTGCACCGGAGCCACCAGAAGCCGCGTAGCCCCGAGGGCTGGGGCTTGCTGGTGGCCCTCTGGTACTTGGCCTTCTACAAGCCCATCATCACCGAGAGCCACCTGAGGAGGAAGAACATCGAGTTCATCTTCATCCGCTTCAGCGCCTGGCAGTACGCCGGCTGCGACAAGCTCTGGGCCGGTTTGGTCACCACCCTCTGCGACAGCATCCGCCATCATTTTGGAGCTCTGCCCCTCAGCGTCTACCACGTCATGGGCACCCGGCCCCGCTTCGCCTCCGGCTTCAGCCAGAAGGAGTGGGTCCTCAAGAAGGACGCCTGCCTGAAGCTTTGGGGGATGCTCTTCATCCTGGCCGTCGGTCTCAGCATCCTTTTGGTGGCCCTTTTGGTGCCCGGCATCAAGGACCACCACGCTTTGAAGGTGGTGGGCAGCGCCGTCACCTCGCTCTCCGGTTCCAGTTTGCTGCTGGGAGCTTTCTCCGTCCTGAAGAACCTGCTGGTCAGCGAGAAGCAGAAGATCGAGCGGTTGACCAACAGCGAGAGGTTCGCCAGCCAGCTGGGCTTCATGAGCAAAGTGCGCCGAGAGGTGGAGGTGCTGGTTGACTTCTTGGCCTTCATGGAGATCTTTGAGCGCCGGCGGCTCCGCGTGGTGCTGGAGATCACCAGCCTGGACATCTGCTACCCGGAGAAGGTGGCTGGCGTCCTCAACGCCATGAACACCTTGCTCTCCGACGCCAACACCCCCTTCATCTTCATCCTGGCCGTGGACCCCAGCGTCATCGTCCCCTGCCTGGAGCAGACGGGTTGCATGAAGGGTCTTGCCGACAACGGTTACCTCTACCTCAACCGGACGGTGACGTTGCCCTTCTCCATCCCCGAGATGGGCAACCGCTCCCGCCTCCAGTGCCTGGAAGCCG